GGACCCAGAGACAGACTGAGGACCCCGTAGTTTTAATTGCTAGGGTCGGACTCCCGACCCTCTCCTAGTAAACCTGTGCGTGCGTGTTTTGAGGTTGGGTGAGAGGGAAGTGCAGAGCTGAAAATCCAAGTTCTTGGAGAGTGCAAGGAGGATCTGATGATTCACCAGTGTCCATGCGCGACAGGTCTCGAAGGATGATGACAGAGGAGAGGAGGCTGTTTAGCAGTGTGCAGTTTCTCCCCTCAGTGACATGGCAAGGAGGGCAGTTTCTGTGAGTGACCTGCCTTGAACTGGACATTCTTGAGATGTTTGGTGATAACCTCTAAGATGTTTTTGATAACCTTCTTAAGTGTTTTTGATAACATTGTTTAGAACATTATGCCTACTGTTTTAAAACGTTTTCAGCGGGACATTTATTTGGTTCCCAGATGTTTTCTGAAAGGAGATACTTTCTTTAAAACTTCTTAACATTCTGGTGATAACTTAAGATGTATCGAGCGCCATTGAGAACATGAATAGGACGTATAAACGGAAATTTGCATGCAATATTAATGGGCACAGATTTGCCTCCTCCTATTAATTCCTGTGTGAAACTAAAAAATAATTGTGGGTGAATATGGATGTAAAGTAAAACCACCCATCCACAAAGTGCATTTAACAAGATTTGAAAATCAACTCATTGAATGTAAAACGGATCTGCAAAATTATGCAAATAATTTCACAATAAACAAGATCTGTGAATGTCTCTTTAACATTGACAACTTTCGATCAGCGACACTGTGTCCTTTGTATTTGCATAACCAAAATGCGCTTGTGGGATCTCAAATCTCTGATTTATGGATTGGTTTTTTACACCAAAGATTTTGAGACAACTTCCGCCATCTAGATAGAGATAGATTCTAGTACTTTTAATCTTCCTGTTTTGGTGACATGGGATTAACTTCTGTCTAAATTTTTTGATTTGGTTTATGAAAGGATGAAAACTCTGAATAAAGTGTTACGGCAATTATGTTTTTCTTTCCCTATTCTCATATTCGCTTTTGTGCATGCTTGAGTTCTAGATCTTTTGCTTACATGTTTTTCTCGATTGCTCAACTTTTATTTTGTTTCATTTTTTTTTAAATCGTCAGTTCTTCAGAGAGCTAAAACATGCACTTCAAAACCACACACCCAGAGTGCAAACCCTTTTTTAAAATTTTCTTCTTGCTTGCTAAGTTTGGAAAGATCTGACTTCCAAACTGTAGTTGAAATTATTTCTTTTTACATATTGCGAGTACTTTTGGGCACTGAAGATTTATAAAACACTTCCATCATATGTGATGGTTTTGCCACCCAACTACACCATGCTGGAGCTAATCTAAACCAATTCCATCTTTGATGGGCCTATTCGTATAGGAGGTTTAACAGAGAAGATTTTGCTTGAGTTATACAGAAATATACAGTAACAGAAATACAAATGAGTTGTTGAAAAAACTCACTTTTATTCAAGATATCCATTGTGCATCATGCATCAGCCATATTAGCTTGCTTCGGTCTCTGCTAAGGGTGACTTGTTTTGCCAAAACCAGTTTGTAACTGCTGCTTCCTGTGTTTATTTTTGCGAAGAATCTTGTAACCTTTCCTCTTGCCATTCTTTTGTTTCTCTAACTTTTCTTTCTAGATAATACATCAATAATTATTTGTTGGTTGGTTTAGTTGTCTGTGTTTGCATAATAGGATTGTTTATCAACAGTAAATGGTTGCAGTTATTTTTTGTATCAGGTATAGTGTAAATTTTTTTTCTGCATACATGCTACAATTCAGTTATCAGTAATGATGTAAATTTTCAGAATTTTTAATTTTTAACAGTTCACCACAGTTAAATCTCTCTTTGATGTAATAGTTTCTTGAGTTATGATTACTGTATAAGTTCTTGGGAACTACCTGTTTTTTCAGCTAATGTGTTCCGATATACAGAGGGTCATATCCAGTTATTGTGTGGTCTTAGATTAGGTTTCTGAACCTCTGTCCAGCCTCTCTCATCGCAACATGGTTGAAACATTTCTTTTAGAGAGTACTCGTCTCCCTCCTCCTCATTCGCCCAGGTCTTCCCTCCTCTTCCTCTCACTCTCAGCTCAGCTCTTCTCCTTCCTCTCGCTTCCAATGTTGTTCATTGTTGGCCTGTAAGAAAGTACCACCTGTGGTATTTTTATTAGTGCTATCCTGATTTGATGTAGCCAAGCAAATGCAATCAGGGTGTTGGTCCAGGTGGAGTGTTTTCTTGATCATTCGGTCCATGTGTCAGGGCATTTTGAATATCAGTGTTTTAAACCCACAACGAGTGATTTATGTCAGTTATGGTGTACTTTTACATGGAGAAACGTGTGGCAGTGGTTTTGCAAAAAGTGCATGTGATTTGCAAATCTGTGTGAAAAGCGTGAAACTTTTAGAGCCGATGTTTTCTTTTGAGTGTCAGTTAAATATTTGCTTATGTACTTATTTAGTGTGTTAGCAAATCGAGAAAACTGTAATAGAGAGTATTCTTCTTGTCCACCGTCTCGTCCTCCAAGCTCTAAACCTCTAGTCTCATTATTCTCCTCCGTCCTCTCCACCCCAGCCTTCTCTTCTCTTGCTTCATTTGGCTCCTTTTTGCTGTAAGAGGTTATACTTGTGTTCCTTTTTTTAGTTTTAACATCTGATTGATGAGCAACCATATGCAATCAGGTGGGTTTGGTCAGGGTGACGGGTTTCTTGACATTGGTCCATGTGTGAGGCATTTTGAATATAGTGGTTAAACAGCTAACTACGTGACTTTATGTCAGATTCCTGTTCTTACGTGGAGAACGTGTGCTGTGGTTTGCAAAGTGCCATGTGGTTGAAAATTGTGTGAAAAGCTGAAAACGTGTTTAGAGTTTTATGTATAATTTTTGTGTGTTAGAATCCGAGAAAACTGTAATTGGTTACCATTGGTGATTCTAAATTAAATTGGATCATCTTTTCTTCATTAACCGTGTGTCAAAATGTGATGTGCATGTTAATAATTAGAGAGTTTCCATGAGTTTTAACAGATAATAAGCCAGTGACGGTGAGTCAGACCTCTTTGCATTGCACTCCCAGCCACAGCCATCATATGGTCAAGTTGTTCTCTAAATAAAAGCAAGTTGGACACGATCATCTGTCCATTGGTTTGCTTTGTGGTTTAGATTAATTCAGCATCAGCCACATTCCAAGAGTTCTATAAAGTTAATCAACAGATGTCCTTTTCGTCTTAAATATTAACCAGCTTTTGATTGCATACAATTAACTCGAGCGATACTGTGATGCATCGTCTTCAACAATTATATTTCAGATGTTTTTCTGTTATTGCGATGGAAGTTCTGGGCGCCTTGGGTGTTTCATTAGTGGTAAAGATCAGGCTAGGAGTAACGGATCTCGAAAAAGAAAGGTTAATGTATTCCTTATAGTTACATACAATAAAAAATTATTAACATAATTTTTTTACATTTGTAAACACAGGATTATTAGCAGTATTACAGCTTTATGGTCTTTCACTTTCTTTGGTTAATTTGTTGTTTTTATTCAGTAAAGTGACCATATGTTCAAAAATGTGTAGGTGTGCTTAACTGTGGTGTATTAAACTAAAACCGACCATTTTCGTGGCTCATATTATTGTGCTTTTTACTATAGTACTGTGCCATCATGTGTTAATTGTTGGTGTATGTTAGTTGAGGATACGCTGAATAGCTTCATAGAAGGGGCTTCTGTTAAAGGGGGCTATATGCCTTTATGTGAGCTGTTACTTCTGTAGTGTGTTTTAGTTTTTACGTGATAGGGCTCAATAAGCAGCACATTTAAGTGTCACCAGTTAACCAATCAAGCAGTTGGACGCTGGTTTCAGACAGAGGGTGACAAGAGGTGCTGCAGCACAGGCAGTATGAGGAAAATAAAGAGCTTTTTGAACATTAAAGCATGGAGACATGTCACAGTAGAGGTACTACATACTAATAACCTGAAAATCAGCAGAATAGGGCCCCTTTAATAAAATCTAAATATCTTGGGTTCTTCTTTTCTAAGGTTCCATTGTTCCTACATAATACACTTAAGAAAAAAACATCTCATTGATATTTATTTTCTATATATTTGCATTGCATTTGATATTGATGTGTTCCAAAAACAGAAAGTTATCAGGTTACATTACTTTTATTTTGTGATACTCAGATTACATTACTGATTACATTTGTTTTTTACAGGTACATTGTAATTATAATAAATAATAGATTTAATTTGTTAGCGCTTTTACAGGTGCTCAAAGACGCTTTACAGATATAGTGAAGAGAAAAGAAAAGAAAGGAACAACAAATAAATATATAGTTAAAGTTAAAGTCAAATAATACAAAAACAATCACACATTAAAAGCCAGATTGAAGAGGTGAGTTTTTGTGACCCCCCCCCCACCCCAGGGCTGATGTATCATGATACCATTTGTCATTGTCCTTCAGTTAGCTCATCTCTGACCTGCTATTAACCCAGTGACTTTCCCCTCTACCCTCTTAATCATCATTTCCATTTGTAAAATGAGTTTTTACTGTGTCACCCAGAGTTTGAGATGAGACAGCCAAGGGGAAAAAGTTCTTGTGGCTTTTGGCAGACGTTGCTTCTCATAAATAACTTTTCACTAAGATGTTTACACAGAAGCCCTGGAGCTGCTCTATAGCTTGAAAACAAGACTCATTATAAACGCATTTGTCCCCAACACTAAACCAGTAATAAGAACAGCGTAAATTACCTTCAGCACTAATTTTCAAAACAAGGTCCTTTAATCATATATAGTATTTCAAGGGTACAGAAACATGTTTTCATTAAATATTAAAGATGCACCAGGCCTGAGCATTAACTAAAGAGATTAATATGTACATGCCTTTATTACAATTTGCAATAACTCAACACAAGAAACAACAACATACACTTACACTTACATGTTTTTCTTATTGGAAAGCAATACAGGTGATCTGCTAAACCTGACCGTTTCTAAAGCAAAAACGTTATACATTTAGAATTACTACTACTTGAAATTTATGTTTAAATGCTTGCAAGGCACATTTGTACTCAGCTGCGCCACTGGTTATAAATACCATATATAAACCATTACCTCATGTTATAACACGGCTTGGTTGAATACTTGATTCTGATTGGTCAATTTAGACATTCCAGAGCTTGTTAATTTTCAAACGTCTGCTAAGGTAGACCTTTGCTAAGGAGGATCAAGGGACTTTGTGCAGTCATATCAATCCACAGAAAGAAGTCCGGTCAATTACATGTCAGCTGTGGACAAAAAACATGGAATACTTTTTTAATATTGTGGAGAGCACAAAACTTTGGACTCATGATGGCTAAACTGTCCCCAGTAGAGAAAATAAAAACAGAGCAAGAGAACGAAAGAGGTTAAAAGACAGAGCGCGTCAGAGAAATCCAAATGCCATAAAAGATTGCATTCATTTCCATTCTTATTTTTCCAGTGTGATAGCTGTCAAACAGAAGTTAAATCCATTTCTCACTTAGTCTAACAATGTACTTAACCCACTAAAAGGATTTATTCTCAAATAATCTAGAAATTACGTTGTTAAAACAATAATCATCTCTCTCGTTCAGATTAATGCGGTCGTTTGTTTTTTCTTCTTTACGAAACACCGCTTTGTCAAATTATCTGTTTGGATTGCCGTACGTAGCTGTCCAATATGGTGGACCAACTCGCGCTTGCGCAGTGCAAATCGGGCAGACATGCAAATCGGGTAATCACGCGGTCAATGGAAAATAAATGTGAACAGACTTGGACAGTTACAGAAAACCTCGATCCGCGCTGCCGCCATTTTAAGTTACATTGCTGTTACGCCGCTCCAGGTTTTGGTACGCAGTGGGACAGAATATTTTTTCTTAGCGAAAGCAATACGATCATTTTTTAAATCAACCAAATATTTTTAAATCATTTTTGTCAGTCAAGTTGTTGGTATAATTAGTAGAAAGTTGTGTAATAAGCGGGATAATATACAGCCAGGTGGTCATTAATTTAAAAAAAACGACACAGTGACCAAGTTCCCAAAGTGAAGATCATTTGGGGGGCCTTACATCACTTTTCACCCATTACACTTTCCTAGAGAAATGCTCTTTTTTATACAGGATCAGGGGTGGACTGGTGGGCTGGCCATCGGGACGTTCGGGACGAATCCCGATGGGCCGGTAGGACGATGTGGGCCGGTCGGATAAGACACTAGCACCGTCCGTCCGTCCGTCCGTCGACAATTCACTAGCAGTATATACTTGCGGCACCGAGGTGGGCCGGTCGGATAAGTCAATAGTACCCCCCCGTCAACAATTTACTAGCGGTAATTACTTGCGGTACCGAGGTGGGCCGGTCGAGAGTCTCGGGCTGATTTGTAGTCCCAGTCCGCCCCTGTACAGGATACATAGACATTTATTCTTTAATACGAAAATCTTCATAACAAGCCAGCCTGGAATTTTTTTGCTCCACAATATACACAATAAATACATTTATCATGTACAACAACAGTTAGCCATACACAATCGCAGGGAGAAAATGCAAACGCCAGACGGTAAGGATTAAACCCTTCTTGGTGTCAGGCGTCAGTTCTAACTACTGTACGCAATTTGGAATGTTGAGACAGTCGATGGGTTGTATTTCCATGAATAACAATGCTGTTGTATCATTTATATGATAATTTCATTGTTCACTGGAACATTGGCGCCAAGAGAGGTCGATCTCATCCTACTGTATCTCATCACTTTTTGCACTTCATTTCGTCCTATAGGTCCTCTCTCTAATAGGTTTTGAGTTACTGTATATATTTCTGCAGACTGGAGGACTGTCCCGGAGCTTAGCTTGTTTTTTCTGAAGTGCACCTCATGAGGCTTGTCAAGTAGCCTTTGGTTGTATCTATATGGGAAAACATCTGTTCAGCGCCATGTAACATTCTCTACCATACCACTTAGAGGGTAATAACCTTCAGTTTCAGGACCTTTCCCATTAGACTTTTAATCATGTGGTACTCAAGTACAGATAAGTGGTGTATAACAGAAGAAAAAAAAGTGGAATGCCGCAAGCGAGGCAAGGTTTCGCTTAGAAAATAATGAATGCAGGCCCATTGTCCTGGAAGATGTTAATGTCGTGGAGAAATATTGGTCAAATATAATCAGTTTCGTGAGCTTGAAAACAATTGATGGGTATGCCAAGCCATGGCAACAGCAATCTCTATGACTTCAGACTGTAACTCTTACTCATTGAGTCATTGTTTTTAGACTTGCTTGCATTGGTGTTGATATTGGGAGGCTGGAATGATCCTCCTTGCTCATAGCGTGACAGACAGACATTGGTTTAGCCGACCCTTCTTGTTTCATTCAACACACTCTGTTAAATTGTTGTTCTGAATTCCTAACCTCAAGGTTGATTGCTCTTATGTCGCTTGGGCTTCATCTAAATTAAATGTAATGTAATGTAACCAATGTGTTCAATTATTTTTTCTTAATAGCAGGATATATGTGAAAAAATATTTTAGCCTCTGATAAAATTCAAATTGTGCGTAAGGGGAATTGATTTTACCATTTCACCAGGGAAGGAGAGCTTTAAATATTTCAGAGGTCAATAGATTTCCCGATCAATACCGGGTAATTATTGTTAAAGCAAACCCTACCTTCAGATGAGCTTTAATTATTCTTGCTGTACATTCTTCAAGTCTCTTAGCTCTACTAGTGGTGTGTTGGTGATGCTGGTAGCTTAAAATGAGATCTGGCAATGATGGCGTATAGGTCATAAAATCCATACATTTGTCCAAACTAAACCATTCAATGACCCTTTATTCCCTGTAGGCCAAGTATCTGCACTTCTCTACTCCCAGATCTTAATTGATCACCTATCCATGTATACAGTTCTTGAATTTCCATTGCCAAAACTAAGTACTGCTGGGCATTTTCTCACTCAAGGTGCTGCGTTGGGTCATCTGTTGGCTGAAGCGTGCGGGCAAGCTGTTATGATAACAAGTAACGTGACTGAACATTTCTCTGAACCTGGTGGACATGAGGTTGTAGAGGACGGGGTTGATGGCAGAGCTCAGGTAGAAGAAGACCCCGGAGACGATGTGGACGACCTCGAAGACCTGGAGGTGCTGCTCGGACGAGGGATCAATGTAGCTCCACATCAGGCGGTCCACATGGAAGGGGGCCCAGCAAAGTCCGAACACAATCACCAGCACACCTGAGAAGGCCAGATGGATAGTGTAAGGGATTAATGGTCAAATGGGGAGATACAAATGGTATACACTGTAATACTCCTGGACCATAAACTGTAACCTATACAGTAGCCACTTTGACCTCACACAGTTGTTTATGGACTCACATTTTGAAGTTTATGGACTAACATTTTGAAGCACTAAGATGGGCATTTTCATCACCACCATCTTAATTATTTGGTGCCAGAAGTAACCATATTTGAACAGGAAGATAGAACTGGAGAATACCATGTAAGCTCAAACTAGCGCTAGCTAGTTAACTTGGATAGCACGGTACGTTCTTATTTCTTGATAACTCTAATAGTGTTTGGGAATGTTTTGCTAGGGAAAAACATGCTGAAAACAAAACAAAAAGTGTTGGTATTGATCTGTCAATCATAATGTAACAAGACAACAAAGCACATCCCACTTGAACCACAATTGAATGAACATCAGCCCTTTTTGAAGAAAGCTTGATTATAGACTTCTATACAATCTGAATTATTTTTGCAACCAGTAGAGTTGCCCTGTGTTGGCCATTAAAATAATACAGGTTTAAGGCAACGTGTCATTGGCCTCACTTTTCAGAATCAGAGGTTGTCCTGGACATTACAGTATTTCAATCATACTGTCAATCCAAGCATTTAACCGACTGCAAGACATAGCTTGGACAGATGGACATGTTACAAAAAATATAGCCTTTAAAGAATATCTTCATATGGGAACAATGGGTGTAAAGACTTACGCACACGCAGATATGGTGAATTGAATTTCAGTTTGTTTCTATTTAGCAACATTGAATCAAGCAACATAAAATGAAACCCACACAGCATTTTGGTGACTTGCAGGTTGCGTCTGCTCAGTTTCTGCTTGTGGGACCTGGAGAGACTTTCCGGTCCAAAGCTTGTGTCCACCACAGTCATCAACCTGTCCCTCTGCAGCCGCACACCAATGATCAGGTAGAGGATGCTGATTATCATCATGGGGAGCAGGAAGAAAACCAACGTGGAAATCAGGATGATGAGGTTGTACACCCAGGTGGGCTTAATCACATCTGTGGATGGAGATGTAACACATAGATGTGTTAGTCAGCTCAAGGACCCAGGTGTACCATGGTCATTATAGCTTCATACATTACTTAACCAGTTGGCCCTTATAAGAAAGCAGCATGACTCCAAATCCTTTGGGAATTGACTTACTTTTCGCTAAGCGTCATTAGCAGGCTGATGTTTCAGATTTTCTTTACCACTACCTGATAAAGGGAATTTGTTACAGATATTCATGGAGGCCAGGGGATACACGCTATGTTTTCAATATTTTATCATCAAATGTGTTACAGACATTAATGTTGCCCATACAATGTACTTTAATGTCTTCAATGATCTTTCCCTGGTTGATTCACCTGTGATTGTTTATTTATTTTCTGTTAAAATATCATATAATCTTCTTCCTCAAAGGATCAATGGTAAAGACTTTTGGGACCATCTGACATTTCATTTGCACAATCATTAGTTCAACATTTAAATGTGTCCAATAATATTTGGTAGAAATAAGCTGTACTCTCTTCTAAGTGCAGTCACCACATGATACCATGCTAATGCTAACACAAATTTGTAAAAATAGCACCAAAACTAATCTAGATGAATAAATGTATACGTACGGCAGATAGCAGATCGGGGGAACTCTCGTCCAAACCATGAAGGCAGCACCACCATGCCATGCAGACTAGTGTTTGGCACAGCACACAGCATGGAAAGCACCCACAGCATGAAGATGACCCTCTTTACGTGAGCCCGTGTGGTCATGTGTTTGACCTTGAGGGGGTGCACCACCGCCATGTAGCGCTCCACGCTCAGCGCTGTAACATTAAGGATGGAGGCGAAGCAGACAGTCTCAAATAAGAAGGTTTTAAAGTAGCAACCGCCCTCCCCGAGCAGGAAGGGGTAGTTCTGCCACATTTCGTAGAGCTCTAATGGCATGCCCAGCAGCAGCACCAGCAGGTCAGAGACTGCCAGGCTCATCAGGTAGTAGTTGGTGGGCGTCTGCATCACCCTGTTGCGCAAAATCACAGTGCAGGTGAGAGAATTGCCCAGTACGCCCACCATAAAGATGATAAGGTAGGTGACACAGACAGGAAGGAACACAGGGGACCTGACCGGGCCCAGATGCATGGATAGGTACTCCTCCTCGCTTAAACACATGTAATACAGATCCTGAGCAGTAGCCTTAGCCAACAACCAGGAGATATTCATCCCACACACCACAGAAGCGTCGGGGCAGCCCACGCCACTGAGGACTGTGGCATCAGATGTGAAAAGAGCAGTGTGGGAGCAGTTACGCTGCAGCATTTTGTTGATTGACCGGAAGGTAAATTGGCTTCTAAACCTAATGGAGAGAAGAGAAAGGGTGACTTTAAATAATACCTCCACACATTGTTCACATGATGTGTAGTTTACTCATTACATTCCAAAAGATAATGACTTGTTTGGCTCTAGGTGGAAAAATGTTTGAGGGCAATACGATTTTGGATCGGTTCCCACTGCTGACTTTCAGACTTTCTCTCAAACTATTTATCAGCAGTTGTTTTGGGTTGGGGTGTTTCTTATGACTGTATGTATTCTTTGCAGCAGTATTAGTTTCAGAAAATGTAATGTCAAACTGTTGCCAACATCTTTGTAGCTACCAAAATATCTCCCCAAGGCATAAAACCCTAACCCTAACTCTATATGCAAACAGATGAGTTCACATACTTCTGGTACCAAGCAGCTCTTGGTATAGCTTCTATTAGAGAAACTGTTCTCATAAGTCCAAGCAACTTCAAGCCAAAAAACCTTTTAACACCTTTTAACATATAAAGAAAGAAAGGATTTGTAGAATGTTCTTGCTAACTTAATAACAATGCTGTCCCTCAGAATGTTAAACAGTCCCCACATTTGAGATGAATAAAGTCTTCTAATCCAATCTAATGTTGTCTTATCCAGAGTCTATTTTCAGCAGAACACAGCCTCTTGAGACTCTTTTGTTTAGATTATAGAAAGGATTAGTCTTCTATTCACCAGCCTACAGAGTTATAAAGATAATTTCATGTCACAAACAAACACAAAACGTACCTGCAGTTTATGAGCTCCTTATGGGCTAAGGATGGAGACAATTTGAAGAAATGTGAGAAGATGAGTGAACATCATATTTCTTCTGCATCCTGGACGTAATTTTTCCAGCACTTCTTGACTGCTTTGGTGCTTCAGTGCGTCACAGCTGCTTGACTTCCAGTATTTGAGCGCTGATGTTCACCCACCTCTTACTCTCTCCCCTCTCCCTATCCCTCGCTCCCTCTCCCTCTCTTGTTTTTGCCCCCACCATTAACCGCCTTCTTCATCTTTCTCTTTCATGTAATTCAACTTCTTTGATTTTTTTTCTTTCACTTTTTCACACACACACACACACACACACACACACACACACACACACACACATGCACACAGCACCCAGGCACACACACACACACACACACACACACACACACACACACACACACACACACACACACACACACACACACACACACACACACACAGATTAACAAGCATAGACTATTTATTGTCATTCTCCATTCTGTTATTCTACTTTTCCCATTGAATTCGGGATTTCTATGAACCCATAACCCATAACCTGTGTGTGTGTGTGTGTGTGTGTGTGTGTGTGTGTGTGTGTGTGTGTTGTGTGTGTGTGTGTGTGTGTGTGTGTGTGTGTGTGTGTGTGTGTGTGTGTGTGTGTGTGTTAGGGCTGCACGATTTTGGGAACAAATCAAATTGCAATTTTTCTGACAAATATTGCGATTGCGATTCGATTTGCGATATCTGTTTTTAAGCGACCCAACGGAAGTTTATTGTAAAATGCGGCCATATCTCCGGCTAGGAAGGTTGTATCAACGTGCTCCCGTTTCTAGCACCCCCGCAGCCCGAGCTATGAGCGAAATAACTATACTTCCGTTGGGTTGCTTTAAAGTCAAGCTTCAGTTTAAGATTCACCCTTTAATAGATGTTAAACATGTGATGGAGCATTACTAACCTGACTCAGATGGTTTGTTTCACCAAACCATCTAGGAACGCTCCATTGGAAGCCATTTGGAAAGGGCAGGCACTTTAAAAAAGACTTGGCTCCAACAATAAATAAAAATGAAATAAAGATTTTAAATATGAAATTTGTATTGTTCATGAAATCAAACTCTCGCTTGCATGTTTAGAAATTGCAGACATTTTAAATTGTAATTATTATAATACTTACTTACATAAATGGATCCAGCTTAATCTTTACACCTTTTTCCATCACATCGGCAGTGACACTCGTCAGGAAAAGAAAACCAAGGTAACAATATCCCAATGTGTTAACAGCTGAGTGCGTCATGTAATTCGGTACTTCTTTCTGAACAAAATGTACAGTATGTGAGTCACCAGGTGCGATATCATGTTCGGACATTAGGAAGTAGGCTAATATTTAAATCAGATCAACCAAAAGCTTTATTAATAGGAAAGAGCTCTTCTATTCATGCAAGTGTACATTGGAGAGATGAATAAATATGTGACATGCTGAATTTGTTCACCTAATAGATGAGCCGAGTAGGAATCATCCTTTGCACTGCAAAGTAAAGACAGGAAAGATGCGACCGGGGCATTGTGTGTCCAATAAATCATCAACAGAACTTCTGTCACAGAGCGAAGGAGTCACAGTTATGGTCTGCTGAACACACTTGCTGAATGACTGCGTCTCGTACCCCCACCACCTTATTTCTCTGCAGGCCTCAGTGGTGTTCAGCTTTTATTGCCAATGCAGGGGCTCCAACATGTCCCCGGCAGGACATTAACATGTTCTCATTGGTGTCTCCATGAGTCAGATAATAATTGGCCTTGCCAGACGGAACTAGAAAAAAGAGACCCCATCAACATCATGTTTAGTCTATTATATGGAGGACAAGAGCAGCCAAATTAAACAAATAAATACTAGCTAAATACCATTATGTGCTAAAAAAAAAATACATCAACAATATCATTTACAATATTTTGTGATTATTGAATTAATAAAATGATATCTTTATTTAATTTGCCATGTTTATTTGTTTGGATATTCAAATATCCATTCTATTGTTTATTTATTTTTTCCGCCAGCTATATCCTTTGAATGTGTCCATTGAAAAGTGTATTTATTGCA